TGGCATTGTGGGTATTCCGTCCAATTCTTTTTCATGAGTAAGTGGCAATCGAGCAGGCAGGTTAACATGACGTTACACAAGATATTACAAGGGCTCACAACATCATTTCCACGTCTCCAATGTCTATGTGATTGCAATTAAAAGTTTCATGTTATTTGCCAACCCTTAAGAGGACGAGACCCAGTTAGCTCACTCTCCAGGAGAAACGCAAAACCATAATGCTTTCACTTATTGATTTTTGAGCGGCTATACGACTTGCCTATCCTTTTAGGCATTGCATTTTACACGTAGATAGTAAATAAAGTAAATAAATCAGTGAACATTATCTTACATTTTTGTAGAAATAACGACAAAAAAATTCCCTTTTCTGTTGAAAGATATTTCCAAACAGAACAAAAGTTCACGAAATCACGATAAATGATCGTTAAATGTACGTATATTTTTAAGGTGTACACCACGTATAGTGCTTATTTTTCCTAAATTTGAATAAAAGTGCCCAAAGAACTTCAGTAAACGTCATATATATAATTGATGTCTATTAAATTGAATCAATGAATATTATTTTACGTATTTCCCTTTTCTAAATATTTCTAAATACATCAGTATTAACATATTAAAAATTCTTAGGAATACCAAATTAAATTTTCACTCAACTAAAGACATACGTTTTAGTTTCGATCGGAAAGAAACTCAAATTACATGGTAATCTCGCACAGCGAAGCAATGTTTGGGAATTTCTTGAGTGTCGCTTTGCCTAATTGGCTCAGATCGTTAATCCGTAATGATCAGAATCTTCCCTTCTATTGAGAGAGCCGTAGAGATTACTTTAATGCACATTTCTTTATCTGTAATGGACGATGCTTTCGCTTTCAATTCAGGGATCTGTTAAAGACTTTCTAAGTCACAGGGTCTTGTCAAGGTTAAAGATGATGAAATATGTCTTGTTTTATTAACAAAACAAATGACTTTTATATTTAATTTAACCCGATCTGGCCATATAAGTGCTCCTGCACCTGACGGTAAATAATATGTTGTTGTAAATGTTTGAGCAGAAGTTTAGTTAACTCAGTTTTTCCATAATGTAAATGTAGAAAACGTGTTTATTGGAGCCATAATAAAAACAAAGATTGTATGTAGCACCTAAAACCATTAAGTACTTAGGTAAAATTAATAACACTTTAGCATTTTACACATTACACATGACAAGGATACGTTTAACGTCTTTATAAAAGAATGTAAAAACAATATTATTTATTATTTCCTCCTGGTTTCGTTTGGAGAGCATCAACTTATTTTGTTTTTAACTTATTTTTGTATACAGCCATAAAATGAGAGGTAAACTGTAAACTAATACAGTGCTACATACATTTATATTACGAATGTTAATGCTTAAAATTATAAAACTTAAACGTACATATCGTGTAAATGCAAAGGTAATATATAAAGTGATCGGTAGTAATTAAGTATTTTATTAACCGTTGTAATTAAGTTGACCTTTGCATTTTTGTTAAGAGTAGCAATTCATTTCACTACGTAAATTCAATCGCTTACACAAACAAGCGGTGCGTGTAAATAACTTTCCGCTGCTGCCGGGTTCCGGAATATTTTGTGCATAAAGTAAGTTACATCGAAAATTTATTTACATTTAACTGTGTTATATTTAAACAGGTTTTTGGTAAAATCAGTATAAATGGGTAAGGATAAAAAATAGGTGTTAGTGCATTCCAAATTGTTGCATATTCTTTTGAATAAACTATTTTAGTAAACATTTCAATCAAGATATACATAGACATACAATATATTCTTACATAATGAAGCACAGGATCATAAAATATTTATTCAGAGCTAAATGAAATTCCCTTTTTCAATAAGTTGAACCTTGAAGACCAGTAAACGCTGTACCACCTGCTCGTGATTTGAGAGATTTTATCAGACGGGCGTTTTGATTAAAAACGTACATTACGTTTGTTTCAAGTGCTGACTTTCCCATTTGGTTTAAAGTCAGGATGCAGCATAAGATGTTACGCCCACTTTCTAACCTCCTCAATAATAGTACGGTAATAGTAGTACTCGTAATCCTCACAAATCTAACGGGGAAAATATATAATATTAAAGCTATCTATGTCTCACTGAGTTTTTGTAGCTAAGTGACAGGTATATTGAAAGTAGTTTAGACAGATTTTATTGTATCGCCGGAGCCCAATTTCCCAAAAGGTTGTCAACGCATCTGCAAACCCTCGGGTGTAGCAGATGTCTATGGGCGGCGGTATTCACTTAACATCAGGTGAACCGTCTGCTCGTTTGGCAACTTTTCACATAAAAAAAAAATCGTAGAATCACCATTTAAATATTTATCTGTATGGGTTTCCTTTCTGTACACAGTATAGCTCAAGGTATTGTTGATATTCCGGAATATTAATATAGATGTATTAGTCATTTTCTATATAGAAAGGCTCTAATTCCATATCGAATTCAATTTTGGAGTGCAAGGAATTAAGGTGGTCTAGAAATGCATTTACTGTGTCTGATGGTAAAATTGTGAAAGTATTATCTAGATACCGCTTGTACAATATTGGTTGAATATATAATCTAAATAATTGACGGTAGCCAGGGTTAACTTTGACATCGAGACTTACAACAACTCAGTCTGTCCCGTGACCATGAACGCTGGAAAGGGTTCAAAACGTCGGGAATAATAAAAAATAACATAGAAAACTAAAACGCCATAAAATCCGTAAACTTGTTTCATATAAAGTGACAAGTAGTTAGCCTTTTCACCATAATCATCCAGTAGAAAAATGAAATCATCGGCGGTGCGACTTTTCTTCTTTTTAGAAAAATACATAATATATGAATAGTTTACAGAATATTTATTTCTGTTTCAGATATATCACGCTATACTAACTTAAAATTTTTATTTATAAAAATGTTACATTTAACTTTTTAATATGAAACACTTTATTTGTTATTTTGCTGTATACATATTTATAATTTCATTCCGTTTAAACGTAAATGTTTTTTACAAGACGTAGATAATTAGTATGTTTAAGTTTAACTGTTTACTTATTCGATGACGGCTACACCGAAGTTGGACGAACTTATTAAGTTAATTATAACTTTTCGTGTGTTATACCTTACGAGGTTACATAATGATTTTCGTTTTGTACTCAATCAGAGCTCTGTAAAGCTAATACTGTAAGTAAAAAACGTAACATTGCAAAACATTTTGTAAGTTATTTGTTCTTAAAACAGTTTTAACTAACAATCATTAAAGGTTTTAGAACAATTCTAGATTAATAAAACGTTGACCTCGATAACTCTCGATCTGCAATATATAATAATATTAAGTTAAATACGTGCAAGGTGCTTTTGCAATGTACTACGGATATAAATATAACTTTGGACATAGATAAACTGATGATACAATGGATTAATACATGTGGTTACCCGTTCCCTAAAAAAATAATGAATTATTAAGAAGGAAAAACCACGCGCATAACCACTGAAATAATACACACAGCTGTACAATAGCCTTCTCAAACATATTACATATAATATAAACCATCATACTTCTCTAATATATAAAATAAGCAAGCCTGCTAAAAAAATACTTCTAATAGAGATTAGTGATGTAGAAGTTTTAATAGTGTGTAGGTATATTTTTTAAACACTGCCCTTACTTTAGAATAGCATTATCCTGTGTTGTAAGGACGTTTTGCAAACATACATTTCTATTGGAAAAACACCCAGATGCGAAATAACTATCTGTGGGTCATACAAATAGTTGTCACGAGTGGGGAACGACCAACCGACACCGTAACCAATACCTTGGCAACTGCGCCACGGAGTCATCAGTACTTCTTACCGCGTTAACGTAAAAGTTTTCAAAATTGATTAAATACTAGAATATTAAATCTACCAAAATTAGATGCTATGTAATAAACCTAGGCTTGGTGGGAAAAAACGCTAATATAACATTTAACATCTAACGCTAATATAGCATTTTCTTGCAAATGAACAGTTATGCTTAAACTTTGAGCGAGAACATAACAAGGGTTCTTGACACCATCCGATGTTATACGTCTAGGATGTTATAAATAGAACAACTTTGTCGCAAACGCAATTGATTATAATTTGTTTATTATTATTTATAACCTTAAAACATATTTTAATTGTTACAGATAACGAGCACCATGGAACAAATCTCTAAATATATTATAATCATTGCATCCGTTATGACAGTGGAGCTGACTGTTACGGAAAGCAAGAATGAGACAAAACCTATCATAGACAGGCGATATTATCAAGTGCCCCTCTTTATAAACATATGCGATATTGAAGACCGGAGATCGAAGGTCCATTGTTACTGTGACAGTAATAAACTGAAAATGGCTACCCGAGCTGATTGTTGGATATTTAGTGGTGGATTGACAGAAGAAGATCCTATTTGGCCCAGTTTCTCATCACAGGCGCAAATAGAGCACCTCATGTTTAATGTACGTTCCGATGATGCACTCACATTCATCCCAGCTAAGGCAATTGTACGACTTGACAAATTGAAAGATTTGTCAATACAATTTGGAACGATAAAGAAGATAGCTCCATACGCATTTACGAACTCTTCAACAATAAGGCAAATCGTTCTGAAATCAAACAAGATAAGCCACTTGGATAAACACTCAATTTCACAACTGATGATGCTGACTAATTTGAGTTTAGATGACAATCAAATTTCGGAACTGAAGAGAGACGTATTTTTTAATTTACCAAATCTGCACATTTTAAATTTATCGAATAACAATATAAGTCTACTTCACGAAGGATGCTTTAAGCATTTGAACAACTTGTTAGAACTAAGATTAGATTATAACTATATATCGGTAGTAACAAAAGAAATGTTAGAAGGTCTGGAGAATCTCTCTAGATTAAACTTGCGAAGCAATAAGTTAGCAATGATTGGCAATTTAGCTTTTAGCGAGTTGTGGGGCTTAAAAGAGTTAATGTTAGATAATAATGCAATAGAATACATCTCCGAGAGAGCTTTCGGAGGGCTGGGCCAGCTTAGAAAATTGACTCTTTCGGGAAATAGATTGACAACTTTCTATGACGATATTCTCGAAGATACAAGGCATCTCTCAATTTTAGATTTAAAGAACAATTTATTGCCTTTTGTGTCTTACGAAACAGTTCGACAAATTGTGGACAATGACAAGGCCGTCTCAGCTGTTGTGTATATGGATGGTTAGTATAATTTATCCAAATTTACTTTATATGTCAACAAACTTTACAAAGCACCGTATTACTTTTTGCATAATTGAAGTTCTTACATAGACGTAGAAGGTTTAATTATTTCATCGTCCATTAGTATTATGCAATAGTATTCTTTGTATAAAGTCACAACATAATTTTCAATACAAATTACCTTGGATTTTTGTACTTTTATGTTTATGTCCTGCGCATACTCTTATATCATGCCTTCGGGGGTTCAGATCGTACCTATATTTTTCAATGGGACCCAATAAATTTCCTCGGTAACATTGAGAAATAGCTTTTTATTTACAAGCATTCCTGTTTGTTTATTAGGTATTTTATAGCTCTTTTATGTTTGTTCACGTACAGTTTGCTTTATATTATTCATGAGTGGGTAATTCAGTGCTATTGTTGTGTGAATTGAATACAAAAAAATTGTGTTTCGTCCTGTTTAATGCATATTAGAAAATTGTGACACATTTTTCTCTTGTGTGATAGATTATTTATTATTGTTAGTCCTTTGTTATTTTCCATACTAAGCTTTCAAAGCACACCGTATAAAGCGAAAAAAAAAATCTTTGTAATTAAACCAAGTCAGAGTACAGTAGTCAGTACAAACCAAAATTACTTTTTATTTTTTTTATGTGGAAAGTGGCAAACGAGCGGGTGGTTCACCTGATAATTAACTTAACGTAATAATCACTGCCAACCCTACGGTTGTTGCAAATGTCCATGTGCCGTGATTATTTCAAAAAAGTGAGCCCCGGCTATATCACTCACCAGAGAAAACGCAGAAGTGTACTTGAGTCGTGGTACTTACCATGACATGTTTAAATAAATAGAACATTTAATTTTTATTTCTAGTCCAATAATATAACGGGCCACCGTGAAATGAACATACGTTTCTTTAAAAATTAAACCAGTGCGTTCCAACAGGACACATATATTATTTTTGTTTCAGGTAATCCATTCAAATGTAACTGCCGCCTTTCCTGGATCTATCATTTGCTCAATGAGACTAAGAGCAGGGAAATGAGAGAAGCCCTCGAAAAGGTAACCTGCGTTGAGAACGAGAGACATCCTAATGACCACACCAACGAAGATCTTGAAAGCAGTAATATTTTATCAGAGGACAATTACGAGTATTATGACAAAAATGAGGAGTATTTAGACAGAGATAAACCAAAGTTGAACAAAGCTAAGAAGTTGACTGAAATACCTTTAGAGTTGCTCCCCTGTCCGAAGGAATTGATGCAATCTGTGGAAGAATCTTACGGGCAGCCAATTCAGAATGAAATTAGACTTAAATCTTCCTCTGAAACTCTAAAAACTGTGCCCACTTTTGCTTTCGTTTTATCTTTATTTTTAATTATGGTATAGACATCGCAGAAACTCAAAACAAAGAAAAATGTGATACTAGACATTATGATTTACTCGGAAATTAATTAATATTTTAAGCGGATTCTTTGCTTTTAAACAAAAAAATCTTTACAGAAATGTAACTTGTATAAATATAGGGTGTAAATTATTTATAAACTAATAGCGATGAATCTATATTAAACAGGAATGTAAATACATTTTAGAGATTAGGTCTTAAATTTCTTTAATGTTAATATTTATGAGTTTATTTTTTGTTTGCTTAACAAGCAATTCAATTAACAAACTTCAATAAACTTTCTTAAAAAACGAGCACCATTAAAAAAACTCTGCGTGTAACAATAAACGACTGCAAATATAAATTGTATTAAATTGTTTCTTATAAGTTTCAGTGCTCTCTACTGACTTAGAGGTAATGTTTCATATCCTACAACCAATTTTTGTAACACGTTTTACAACATGTTTTTCCTCCTCTCTATTTGCTGCAAGGTTATGTTACAAGGGTAAAATATTCATCATCTTTTATATAAGAGACTTTAAAGAAGCCACTCGGTACCAAATCGACGCTGTAAGGGTGGTAATTTTTTTTTATGCGAAAAGTTGCCAAGCGAGCAGGCGGTTGACCTGATGTTAAGTGAATACCGCTACCCATGGACATTTTTTAAGATTGGGCTCCGGATCCCTCACTGACCAGACGAAACGCGAAAGTATTTATTATACTTACACTTTACGCCGGTCTTCTGTGAGGTCGTGGTACTTACCTGGACGAGCCTGCCCATTCGTGCAATAGCCGAGGCTGCTGCGTGGCCCTACCATAGTGAAGTGGTTAATTATATACTTATAATGTGCACTCCATGACCTCACAGAAGACCGGCGGGAAGTGGAAGTGTTATACTTCTGCGTTTCGGCTGGTGAGTGAGGTAACCGGAGCCCACGTTATTAAAATGTGGCAACGTATTTGCAACCCTAAGGGTGTGGCAAATGTTCACGGGCAGCGGTTATCACTTAACATCAGATGAATCGCTGTCCTTGCTCATAAAACAGTAAACTAACGTTAAATTCCGTGCTATCCGGAAAGACCTAAGTATTTGCTAGTAAACTAAACCGTTCTGACATTACTTCGATCCGATAAAGGAATTCGTTCAATATATTCGCTCAAAGTACATCGCTAAATATATTCTTTCCTGCAATTCCTTATTGTTACGAGTACACTTTGACGCATTTAAAGCAGTCACAGCCTCAACTGGAGTTTTCTTTCCGGATTGTATTGATAATTTAAACCTGACTAAGGTACTCTAAAAGGAACCTACATCAAATTTAATTAATACGTCAATGGATCGTAAAGTAAAGAGAGAGCCATGAAAATATCCTGCGCACGAAAATTATTTCTGCTACAATTTGTATTAACATTTTTGTTTATAGGCCAGAAATTCTTCCTTCATTTACTATCATTACATGATATCTTCATGTATCATTTCATATTCATTCAATATGTCATAAAAAGTGATCAGTGATTCAATCATGAATCACTCATCTGATTTTAGACATAATTAAAAGTCTTATACTTATAATATTTTTTAAAGAACCACAATATTTGTAAGAATTTGTAAAAGGATATTTAAGAAGTTTTATTTATACGAAATCGTTATATGAAAAAATGTCTAGTGAGTAAACAATACATAAATCTAATACTGTTTTGTCGTTAAACAAATAATATTGTAAATATTTTATACCCCTTATCACCGATGAATTATTCTTCAAATTGCAGCTAAATTAAAATAATATAGGAAGTTAAAGACTTTTTTAAACTGAAATTAGTCTGAAAGATCTGATTTTAGTCTGAAAGATCTGATTTTAAACTGAAATTAGTCTGTAAGGCCGTTATCTGTATATACATAACTGTAGAAAAATAGTATCAGCCGTTAATCACTGGACTGTTTAAATCCTAGTATTTGGTGTTTATTAATACTTTAATTGTAAGTGTTGTTGTTAACGAGTATTACTTTAACTAGAAATGTAATTTGTCATTTATTCGTACAGACAGCATGTTTTAAACAAATGTAAAGAAATGTAAGCAAAACACAATTGCACTTGAAATATCAGAATACAATTTTCAACTAATTACCAATGTTGTAACGGTTGTAATTTTGGTCATTAAATAAGTTTGTTAGGTATAAACTATTGCAATTCTGTAGAATTAAATATTTCTACCACTTTATTTTAAAATTTCATTCTTATCTTTATCCCTGGTTGTGAGTTCCTGTCAAACTGATTTAAATAAAATTACTTACTAAACTACCTTTTGAGAGACCGAAATTGTTCTGAGTATTCCCCTATTTTCATTCTACAGAGGGACAAGTTTCTTTATTAGGATTATGACACTAATCCTTATTAATATTATAAAGGCGAAAGTTTGTACGTATGGATGGATGTTTGTTACTCTTCCACACAAATACTATTGAATTGATTTTAATGAAACTTTACAACAATATAGGCTATAATTTATATACATATTTTATGTATATCTGTCGAGTGTTACGCCTTCAGCCTATTCTACTCAGACATAGGCGCGGGCAGCAGCTAGCATTTAATATATTAGCAAACCCAGTTAATTAAAAAGGCCTGTATAAGGGACTCAATATGAATAAACGCAGGACTCAGATTGAAACGTATACTGATCTATTAAGAGAATATGAAGATGTGGATCATTTTCAATATACAGGCTCAGTTGTGCTGGCGTATATGCTACGGATGCGATGAACGGTAAATCGCACAAACGTTTCTATATTGAGCGCTTATGCAATCTACTCACAGCGCATTCCTTCGTTTTTGGTCATTTTTCTCGAAAAGATACGAACAACCTGTAACGTTTAATGGTAATAAGCATAATGGAGTGGTAAAACTCTACAGACCAAATTCTAAACTATGCCGATGGCGATGGTCAGATCAAATTCACGAACATCGGTGGATCATTGTAAGCGTCGCACTTCACCAGGTAACTGTATGATACATTAAGGTTAGTATAAAATTAAGTTGCATTGTCATGGGTTCTTGATAAGTCTGCAAAATTTCAAATAAATATGATGTTTTGGTATGGGTGAAAATAGCATTCGAAGATTCCGTTAAAATATATTTACAAACATACAGGTGAAGCTAAAAAAAATAAATACTGTATGTAATAATTGGCATTAGTATAATCCATTGGCAAGATAACTGAACATTCTATTAATATAGAAATTCTATAATAGATAATTTAAATACTTTAAAATTGAAGTATAAAAATTTTTAAGCACGGTGGTAAAAAGAAATGACTTTCCGATTAGGTTAATACAATAAGGTTAATTTTGTGTTTTGTTCTTTTTTTTTGTAACATTTAACATGTATGTTACGTTCTTTTGTTTTGAATTAGCTAAATACCATTATGCCATGACTACGAAAAATACTCTTGTAAATGCTGTGACTACCTTGAGATTACGTGTAAATTGTTGCCACAAAATTTGTGTTTCTGAAACTTTGAGTTCATGTAATGTTGATGGTAATCCAAAATAAATAAATATATATATTTAAACCGTTTTTACAGACAGTATACTACAAAGGAAAAGGAAGAATGTGCGTTAAATTCTTGTAGTTTTTTTTATGTGGGAAGGTGGCAAGCGATCTGGTGGAGCACCAGAGTGATAACCGCCGCCCGTAGACATTTGCAACATCCGTAGGGATGCATGCGTTTTCATCTCTTAATAAAGTGAAACCCGTCTATCTCACTCATAAAATGAAATGCAGTATAACACTTTCACTTCCCGCCAGTCTTCTGTGAGGTCGTGGGACTAATCCGGACGGACCTGACCATTCGTGCAACAGCCACCACAGTATGCATGTGTACCACAGTTGTAGTAGATCGGTCAAGGTGCTGTTAAAAAATATGTTCATTTTTATTCTATGTTCTTTTTGTTACCATCATTACAAAAACTCCCTTTATTGTCTAGCAGCAATTTCAAATCTACTTCAGAATATTATCCTGATATTGAAACTGAAAACCTACACCAGCGAATTTTAATCGAACTCACTAATAATGAATCATCATTTTCACATCTGATTTTTTTTTATCACATGTGAATACGGCGATGACAAACTTTTTTGTACTGTACCAATATTATGCAAACTATGTTAGAAATAATGAATATTTTGCTAAAAAAGAACCAAATCATGTGTTAACATGCCACATCTATGAATATGCAATTAAATAATACATTAAAAAAGGCTCCTTTTAAATAACTGTTTTGATCCACATTCTTATAACAGTTATTTGAAGAAGATCTAAGTACCGTTAATATGACAATTGTGTGGGTGGCATAAAATATATCACTGACTACGCAAGCATGTAGATTTATTACAAGCAGGGGAAATGGGGCGCAATTTACCCTGCCAACATATCTCAAACCATTAGGGATTCAGTTTTTCTTTTATACATTTTCAAGAGCAAAAGTGGTTTCAAACGAAACTTAACACCATATTTGCAAAATATAATCACATCATTTCAATATAAAGTAATTATCGTCTTAAATACCTTGCTTTTTTTTCATCTCAAAAGAAGACCGAGAGAAGAGTAGGTATCACCTTCACAGTTTCATGACTTCAAAAAGAGATGACATAGCTGTTTACTTAGTTAATGAGTGAACAATAAAAAGAGTACGCTGAAATTACAAATACTCTTAAGTACCTTCAACGAACAACTGTAAATATCATACTGAATGTCTCTCTATGAAAATCTAAAAACGAGGACTTCCAAATATCGATTGGAAACTCAAGCAAAAAAGGACCGTGAGGACATATCTGTACTTGAAGACAAAATAGAGGACCTGCAAAAGACCTCACACAATGACGATTGAGTAAAAAAAAATCCTCGAAAAAGCTCAGAGAATGAAGGAGATATAAATCAATATGATATTTAATCTTTCGAAAACTGTGAACCTTCATTTATGTGCACGGGACATTAAGAATAT